CCCCGAGGCACCGCCTGCCCAGCCCGCCCCCAGACCAACGGCTGCGGCGCTGCTCGCCCTTCCGCAGGGCCCAGGCCGTGCCCGGCCACCCCTCGATCCTCGTTCCTGACCGCGGCCTGCAGGCCGCCCACCTGCCTGGGCCCGCCCCTGCCGCAAGTCCCCAGGGCGCACCGCCGGCGCGGAAGCCCGGCCTCAGCTACCGGCTGAGTCGCCCTAGAGGCCGAGGCCGCGCCCTTGGTCCTAAACCTTCACCCGGCATCTCCGAGGAGCTGACATCGAAGGACAAGGAGAGCGGGCGCGTTGCTGGAGGCCTGCAGCAGAGGCCCCCGCCATGCTACGGATCTCGCCGCCCCAACCCCGAAGGAGCAGAGGGCAAGATCCGCAAAGGCCCTGCCGAAGCACTCGCTCGTGTTGCCAAGAAGAGCAGCCCCGCAGTCGTGGATGCCCCCTCCACGGCTCAGGCGGAGTAACAGCCCGACTCCCTCCCCAGGGACTCCCTGACCTGGGCTGCAGGTGATGTCCCCTTGAGGAGATGGTGCCCCTTGGCGCTACACAGTCCAAACATCCATTACTGACTGTCGGATTTGTGCCCTGAGAAAAAAATGCATGCCCCTGCCCCAAGGTTTGGGGGTAAACTACAACATCTATATCTAAACTCCCTCTTACCAGCTGCTTCAGTAGTTTCTGCGCACACACTCTCTCACACGCACACATCCAGACAAGCACACATGCCTCTGAAGCTGTTCTTTTTAAAACATCCGACCAGGACCACAGCTATTCTGCATCCCCAGGTGAATTGGTCGAAGTACTTTAAACATATTTTTATATTTAACGCAAAAACAAAGATTATCTGACATTGCTGTGTGATGTTACTCGCCCAAGTGGTCATTTTCTCAATAAATCATTTCACGGTGATTTTATCTGTTATCGCAGTTGTGTGATTTTTTAAAGGCTGCCAGCACATAATTGTACTGAGACGGTCCATTCGGTCTTTTTTTTTTTTTTCCCCCCCCCAGAACTGGGTTTAGCCAACATCATACCTGTTCTTCTTTTCACAAGTCACAAACTTAAGACTAATTCCGGGCTTATGGATTGAACTTCTCAAGTTATTCTAAAGGCTTAGAAGACACAGAGAGGGAAGAAGTGTCCTCATCGTTTTCTTTTTCATCCTTTTCCCCTGTCCTGCCATTTGAGCAATAAGTCTGGAGGGTGGGCCCATCTACCCACACTTACTGCTTAGGTACTCTCTGAGGCAAAACACAAAAGACTGAGCAAAACACCATGACAAGCAAGAAAACTTGGCTCTCTGGAAACAAATTTTGCCTTTTAGTTTTTTTTCTTCTTTCAATAATACCATTTAGGTATTTTAAAGAAAATGGACATGAGGGGCTAGAGGGTGGGGGAAATGGAGAGATGTCGGTCAAAAGGTACAAACCTTCAGTTATAAGATGAATAAGTTCCAGGGTCCCAATGTACAGTTAGCAGTACTGTTTTGCATACTCGAAAGTTGCCATGAGAGTACAGCTTTAATGTTCTCACCATGACAACAACAAGAGCGGAACGGTAATTATGTGAGGTATAGGATGTGTTAATTATCTTTATCTTGGTAAACATTTCACGGTAAATACATGCATCGAAAAAACCATATCATACATTCTAAATTTATATGTTATGTGTCAAATATATCTCAATAAAGCTGGGGAAAAAAGGGAAAAAAGGAAAATGGGCATGGAAGCAGGTATCATTGTTGTCATGAGTGCCTCTGGAGCTGAAGAGAAACGTCTGGACCACAGGTACCATCTGTCTTTTAGGTCGAGTCCATTCAGGGGGCCTGTGGAGGATTCCTGGAAGGCTGAGCAAGTGAGGTTCAGCCCAATTCTGGCCCTTTCCCGTCAAAGAAGCTCTGACTTCCCTATCCTGGTTTTCATTTGAACATGTAGTGGGGTTGTGGATGGGAAGCAGGGGTTGGGTTTGCCGGGGAGGGGGGATGCAATGAACAAATTTGAAGCCAATGCGGGTCTTTAAAACCTCATTTTACAAATTAAGGAGATTAGGTTAACAATAGCAAAATCAAAGTAATATTCTTGTTTTAATGTTGAGGCAAATTAAACCACATTATTGACTAGCATAAGGGATGTGAAGAGTGTCTATTCAATCATTCAGTCTGGCTAAATATCCTCAATCGATTGGAACAGAAGCAGTAGAGATTACTCATTCGGCAAATATTTGAGGGCCCGTTTGTGCCAGACTCATGGTGAAGAAGATGGTTTCTTTATCAAGGAGTTGCATCATGGTGAAGAAGATGGTCCCTTCTCTCAAGGAGCCCACAATCTAACGGAGAGTGAGACAAAACTGGCAATGACTGCACAATGGAGTGAGTGCTCTGCTGAGAGAGGAAACATAGGTGATCTAGATAATGATGGGTTTGGCTCCCTGTTAAAGGAACCAGTACTTGGATACCTGAATTTAAGATTACATCTTGGAGGCGGGTCCAAGATGGCGGGGTAGGAAGACCCTGAGCTGAGCTCACCTCCTCCACCTACACACACACACACACACACACACACACACACCCTACATATAGAGCAATTCCTCCTGAAGAACAACCGAGCGACTGAACAGTTTCTGCACTGCAAACTGGAGAGGGACCACATAGAGAAGGATAGGAGTATTATATTAGACTGAAATGAGGTAACCACGGGAACCCCACCCCTAAACCTGCAGTGGGGAGGGATATCATTGAGGGGCACGCAGGGCAGACTTGCCTGCTGAGGCACAGTAATAAAACAGCGATTTAAAGGGCACCCAGACTATTCATGAAAAAAATCCATTTTCTAACACCAAGGCGCCTGCCAAATGTGTGGGATACTGCGGGAACTCTCCTGGATCTGAGAAGCTGGCAAACGCCCTTGTTTACATTCCTCCTCCACCTAGATAGCGCTATGGGAGCCTAGTCCCAATGCTCCAGCCACCCCGCACAGCGCACCCGCTCCCGGGCCACCTCGCCGGCATTAGCTGCAGCCCCAGTCAGCCGGCCCACGAGGGCACCCAGCATTAGCTGTAGCACCAGTCTGCCAGTCCCCAGGGTTCCCTGAGAGCCTTGTGCCCCAGGCCAACTCACGGAGTGCCTGCTGCAGCTCCATTCACTCAGGCCTCCAGGGAGCCCCTGGAGTCAAAAACTCCAAAATTTCAGGTATCGTAACTAAGCCATTTATGACTAAATTTAAAAATATGAATTCTTGGATTCATGATTCTCATTTAGAGAGAGCTCTTGAACCTAACTGGGCTGTTCAACCAACAGAAGATTTGAAATTTAAATTTACTAGGAACTGAAGCAGATGACATCTGTTATGGACAACTAACTCCAAATTCCAGACCAGTCCTGTATAACCTACACCTTCATTATTCCTTTTTTTCCCCCTTTACTTCTGTTGCTTCCTACCTCACAAATAATATGAGAGGCCAACTGCACACTTATAATAAATATTATTTTCTTTTCCCCCTTAATTTCTGACAGGAAAAAGTAACTCAATCTGGTGATGTCGACCCCAGTAAAGGGGCCAGATTTGAAACCATACCTTTTTCTTGGGCAGACATTTCAATGAATAAATACATGATTAGAAACTTTTCAAAAACCTTAGAGGTACTGCAAGGACTACCACTGCAATAGCCAACCAGGAAAAATATTTAAATTTTCTTGCACGAGTTATATTAGACAAAAAATTTACTCTTGACCATATCCTAGCTAAGCAAGGTAGGACTTGCTTTGTCCTTAATACTTCTTGCTGTGCTCAGATAAAACACCTCTGGTAAAATGAAGATGGAACTAAATAAAATCTGGCACAAACCAAATGATTAAATACAATGTCCGCTGACATCTCATGATTCTTTAATACTGCCCTCAGGTATTGCCTACTGGTTCAGATCCATTCTGTAAATTGGACTTAGCATTTTGTTTGTTATTATAGAAATTTGTTGCTGTTATAAAACTTTGTTTTACATAGCTCGATGTTATAAAGACACTACTCTAATAATGGTTGCTCAACATTTTGAGATGATCATTAAGGCCTATGAGGCTTCTTATGAGAAACCTCAAGAAACTACAGAAGGTGTTTGCCCTTAAAGAAACATGACAATAAAGCCTTCCTCTGTTCTGGCACTCTTGTGGCCTAAGGCTCCCACTTCCCAAGAAAACCACTTCCCCTCTTTTGTGGCACATGACATACCAGAAATGAACCTTCCTGTCAACAAAGGACCGACGAGGACATAACACACCCTGAATGAGCCATCCCGACAATGAAAGACCAATGATACTTTTAATAACTGATCAATGCTGCTCTCCAATGACTGATCAGCGATACTTTCAAGGAAAGTTCTTGATCAAAAGGGGAAAAAATAGAATAATAATAATAATAGTAATATTTATAATAATAATAGAAATGGAACCACTTTAAAATGGAGCCAGAGCTGCCACCCCAGAGGAAGTGCCTTGGAATGTTAAAACAGAACAAAATAACATTTGGCTTGTGCCTAAAGCAACATTATGTCCCAAAGAACTGTTTGCAAAGACAACAAAAAAACAGATGTATGACTACCAGACTGATGGTTACTGGACTGAAAAAAATTTTTTTAATTTATATTGTTTAGAATTAGCATCACCATGGTAGCTCATGTGGACCAATAGAATAAATCCCTTCCTTCTATTGATGTAATTTTTCCCCTTCCCTTTCTCATAAATACCCCTTGTCTTTATCTCCTAATCAGAACACTATTTGGGCTTCTGCCTGAATCAGTGCTCCCCGAGCAGGTGTTCTTTCTTTTTTTAACCCCACGTAAATGATCCTTGCCTCTCACTTTGAAAGTCCTTTTATTTGTAGGTTGACACTAGTTTCCCGGGTCTGAAACAAACAAAAGTAATCCCAAAAATTATTGCAGAAGAGAACATGTTTGCAAAATTGGGGGTAATTAAGGCCTCTTTAAACATGTCACAGCAATCAAAATGCTCTCTGCTTCTCCCCAGAAACAAAAACAAAATAACAGAAATTTTCAAACCAGTCAATAATAATGTGGGAGCAGATAGCTCCAAATACAGAAGGGGAAAAAGAAATCCAAATTGGCATCTGTGGTTGTGTGCCCTCCCACGTGAAGGGGGATCCATGAAGTGGTTCAGATAAGCTATAAAGTGCCACTCCCTTGACACAGCAAGTCACAGGAGGGCAATGGAGTGTTGTTGTTGTTGTTGTTTTTTCCTTTGCACATATCGTTTTTGTTTATTTTTTATGTTGCATATCTTCCTTCCTTCCTTCCCTCCCTCCCTCCCTCCGTTCTTTCTTTCTTTCTTTCTTTCTTTCTTTCTTTCTTTCTTTCTTTCTTTCTTTCTTTCTTTCTTTCTTTCTTTCTTTCTTTCTTTCTTTCTTTCTCTCTCT